ATTCAAAAAATATATTAAAATTTTATGCCTATTAAACTTTTAGAAATCAGAGATTTATGAGGCCTGCCTACTTGAAATTTTTTTAAAATTTCTTAGCCAGTCTTACCATTTTTTAGGGAAATTTCCTAGTTTGGCCCTTAGGCCAGGCTTTGTAGATCTCCAGCCAGAATAAAAAATAAAAATACGTGTAAACTACAATAGCAAATACCAACTATGATAAGGTTTATATAAAAAATAACATATCCTTGCCCAACTTATAAATTATTAGCACTCTACAGGCATTTAATTTTTTTTTTGTTACTTAAATATTTATGTATATTTTACATAATGGTCATAATAACTTAATAAAAAATTATTAGCTTTTTAGACCATTTATAATTAAGTTTTTGAATGAAATCTTCTATAATTAAGTCATATAACTGAGAGATTTAAATTTAATACTAGATAATATTTAGGCTAGCTTAATAAAAATAAGTTATTTAAATATTATAAGTTGGTCAATCATTATTAATCAACAACAAATTATGCTATTATATTTTATATTCATTCTTTTAATCTATTACATATCCACATTTTAAATTTTTTAGTGTACAACTGATTTAAAAATTCAACTTTATATTCAATTAAAAGTAAAAATAAAGTATGAAATAAATGTATTGTTTGAAAATTTTACTGCTTATGTATTATATTTTAAAATACATAAGCCCTTGATTTTCATTTTAATATATGATTGATTATCCAATTCAGTTATTTAAATTCCTTTATCCTTGCTAATATTAATCAATCGATAATTGTGATGATCAAATAAAGTTGGAGCTCATAATGTGCTTGCCTAATTGATTTTACAAAATAATAATTAACGCAAAAAATGTCATAATTTTACAGGTTTTGTTTTTCAGTCGAATGGACAGACAAGTGATAGGTGGTTTGTGTCTCAAACTTGATGTTAAACAAATTATTTTTAAATTTGTAAATAAAATAACAAATCTAAATTTAGGATGAGAATATTAGAATTATAAGAAATTATTCATGAGATACATTAAATAATAATAATAATCGTTAAAAATCAAAGGCTTAAATTTAATATTAAATATTATGCCTATTTTATAGGGATTTTTTATTAAATATATAATATCAAAAAATTAAACTTATACCTGCCTGTTTTTTTTTTCATTTTGTTGTAAACTATATGCTAGCTATTTAGGTAAAGTTAATTAGTCTATAACATAGATTAAATGCTTTTAGCTGGTTTAAAATTATTTGTTAAACGGGGTTTTAATTGTTTAGACTAGAATGGATTGTATTTTTAAAATTAGGCTTATTACTTCGGTTTTATTTTAAAGTATTAGGTCCTTAACGGAGAAGAACTTATACCTGCCCCCCCTCCAAACTAGCGTCTGCATGACAATATTTTCAGTAATGTGCACATTATTAATTGCACCTTTTAATTTTAATGGTACTCCATTCATAGATTTTAAAAAGAATAACTTAAATTATTTTATCTCTACTACCAACTATCAAAATAATATGTATACAAAAGAGTTATTTTTTAAATCATGAATTCAATTAAAACCCCCTCATTTAAATGAATTAATTATTATAATATATTGGCATGAATATGAGTTTGCTGAGAATGTCTAACTCATTTGAATTACAGTTAAAAGGATAGTAGAAAGTTTTTTGTAATATCTATGATTATATACGATATTTAGATTTGGTCGATGATTTGCAATATTATTGTATAGGTCTATAATAGAAGGTTTAATTTTTACAGCAATATATTTTGTCCTACTTCATCTAAAAATTCATTTAATAGATAACCTCCGATAAATTCATAATACCCCCTCAAAAGAATTGGATGCAAACTGTTCCTAACCTCCCTCCTTTCCTCCCGTGTCACCCAAAAATGTATACAATATACCAATATAAACAATAATTTAAAAATAAGTAAAAGCTAATAATTTTAAAAAATGTAATTTAGACAAAGGCTTTAAATAGGTAATCTTAAAGCTTTACAATAAAATTTACAGAGGAAAAAAAATCAAATTAATAGATTTGAATAAATTTAATTTCTATAAAATATATCCATTTTATTTATCCAAATTATAAATAAAATAATTTTAAATTAATATATTCATCATTTTAAAATATTATTGTATTTTTTTTTATAAACTACAACTACTCGAAATTAAAAGTCGCGCTACTAATTACCTATATAAAAGTAGCGTAGTTACCGATCACCAATTAAAAAATGTAACGCGCTATTTTTAATAGCTAATAGCATTAATTATTATTTCATAACAATCAAAGCAATAACAAAAAAACAAATCTTCTTACTCAAATCTATTTGGTTGTTCCCTATCTAACGATAATTTTTTGGAATAAATATTTGATTCCTATCAATTCTATTATAACGCCACTAATGGCGTGGTTTTACTTTTCGCGACTATCCAGTTATACTGTTCATAGGGAAACTTTCAAGTCCTATCTGCAAAAAAAAATTAATCTTGCTTTTCGCTTTCCCTAATTTTTCCCTCCTTTTCTTTCTTTTTTCATTCCCTTTTATTTTTCCTTCCATATATTTATCCTTCTCTTTCTATTATCATCTCTCATTCCGTTTTTTCTTTTTCTTATCTCCTTCACTTCATTCCCTCTTCCGTCCCCTAAACGGTGAATAAGAGGTTATTCTTTATCAATGATACCATCCAATTAAGGATAGTCATATACTGCTTCTAATATCCTTTTTCCCCCGTCATCATTAGAACTTTTTAGAATACCCGGTCTCAGTTCTGAAATTCTGAAATACCGTATAATCGGTTAAACTAACGGGTTGCTTTTTTTAAAAAAAATAAGATAGTAGGGATCTCTTTTTCGAGAGCTATTTTGCTACTCTTAAAAAATTGATTTAAACTATTGCGATAATATTATATATTCACAGATTTCTTCAAATGTTTTCTGAAACCTGTTTCTTTTTTCTATATTAACATAAATAACAATAAATAATCAAACTTGTTCAATCAAAGATACTTATTCTTTTTTTTGTAATTATAATATTTAATATTTTTGGCCTGACACTAAATTGACAATTTACAAAAAAATTATTAATTAAAAATTATTTTTATAAACGTTTATAATAAAATTTACGAAAGAATTTATTATATTTTTTTTTGTCCTGATCTCAAGAGAAATATCTAATTATCCTGTTTTTTTCTAAGAATTTTTAAATCCCGGTTCAATTCGACGAGAAAAAAATAAATCTAAATTAAAGCTATTTTTTAATAAAAATTTGGCACCGCATATGCTAAGCAGGGATCTATCTATATAGTATATCATTTAATAATAATCCATATTTTACTAGAGTTTGTTTTTTTTTGTGTAAGTTATGAATTTAAAATTCCTTTTTCTTTTTTTTTGCATATTCCTTCCTTTTTTTTGAAAAATTAGAAAAAATCGAACAAGAAAATAGTATTTATTCACTTTGTTTAGTGTTGTTAAGCTACCTATCTTTAGTCAACTAAAAAAAATAGCTTAGCCATATTTTTATCCAGAAATATTCTAATCAATCATCAAGTTGAGGCTCAACTTAAAAGCTTAATTAAATTTTTTAGTTTAAAAGCTTGACTCAAACACAATAGAGATGGTCAAAGTTAGGTAATTTAACAACACTACTCTGATTTATCTCTTCCATCAAATGATCTCTTTTCTTGACATGTTCTTTAAACCTTTTCTATTCTTTTTCTCTCCTTAATCAAAGATATACTCAAGGCTTCGAACACTTAAGTATAGCGGTTTGGTTTTTAAGAAATTCATATCGGTTAGGTTTAAAATTTAAAACGGTTCTTTTCGATTCATTCCAGTTTTTATCAATTTGATTTTTTTAAAGAAAATTAATCATAAACCATATATAAATTTAACTGAAATTATATTTTTATAATTCTTTTTTTACTTTAAATATGATGATTATATCTTATCTAATTAACTAGTTAATTTCCTAATTTTTATTAAATTGAAAATATAAAGTAAAAACAATAAACTTGGTATTGATTGATATGAAGATAATAGCGATTTAATTGTAAAACTATTTTAATATGAAAAGAAATCACGAATTAAAATCGCAATTAAAATGTCAAATTTAGGTTAGTAATTTAAAAATTAATTATTTACAAAAACCCTTATGAACCGGGTTAAACCGGTTCAAATATATTTATAACAGTTCGGTTAGCTCTTTTTATAATTTCTTTACTGCTCTGTTACGGTTACAGTTCAGGAAATTATAACGGTACGTTCCGGTTTCGCGGTTCGATTTGAAGCCCTGATTATACACTTAATGTCTCCATTAATTTAATATATAAAGAGAAAGAGATATGTTAGATATAACATTACATTGGCGTACCCAGGAGTTTGCTAAGGGAGGAGTGCATTATTAAGTGGGTTTTCATCCATAATTTTCAATGGAAGTCTAAAGGTCACATTATTGTGGGTCTTTTTATAAAAATAATTTTGTATAAAACTGCTTTTTTTCCTAAAAATTTCCAATTATAGTCGTTATTTATTTTAAATCATTATTAACTTTTACTTATTTTTCTTTCAAATACTTGTTTATAATTATAATACATTTTTTGGCGGAATATGTGTAAGGGGAAATTTATTATTACTTAAAATAATATTTACGAGAACAGAATTTCTGGAGAGGGGATTTCCCTTATCAATCGTCCTGGCTACGCCAATGGATATATATATTCAAGTTAAAATAACTCTTAAAAGTTTTGGCCATATTTATTATAAATCATTTATCTATAAGGTTTTCTCTTTTTTTCTGAAAAAATTGCAAAAAAACTTACGAAGATATGTAATATATTTCAAATCAATCAGATATAGTAAAAATGATTTTATTTTAAAAATTTATATAAAGTAGTATGACTATAAAATCACATGTTATCGGCGCGTATTAAAATAAAATATAAATTTTTTTTAGAGTCCTGAAATATTGACAGATTAAATTGTAAATATTTTATATAATTATTTCAAATCACAAACCTTTCTAAAATATCGTGAGACCTAGCGAATCACATAAAAAAAATGAAAAATTATCTAGCGTATACAATTGTAATATCTTATGAAAACTCGTTACACTCAATTTCATAAGATATGCAAGTATTAAGTTAAATACCATGGATGTTTAATAATGTTTGATCCTTTTATTCAAGGGCAAAAATTCTGGGCTTATATTGGATTTATGTTGTGATGTATCGAAAAAGGGGAACATCGCAGAACCATTATACCCTGTATCACTTAGTCCCCTGTTTATATCGTTAATTATGTGGCTCACGTTATCTCCAGTTTGAGAGCAGATATTATCAAGATTCGTGTAATTTATGTAGTTGCTAGGATGAAGGGAGGACGCAACGGAATAAGCGCAATGGTTATTGTTACCGCTATTTACGGAGGTCATGTTTACGGCATATATTCGCTCGTATCCAGCTCCACAATCATTATCAGTGAGCAATGAATCAGCAAATCTATCGTCCCCAGCTTCGGATGAGCTATAACCATCCTGGGGATCTTCAATGTAGTTGTATTTTTCTTTCGTGGAATCGATATCGAGGTTTTTATCTTTTTCTTCGAAGGATGAGACTGTTTTAGTGTCATCTTCGTTGTCAGAGTATTTAATGCCGTCCCTGTAATTTTGATTTTTTGAAAGAAAAATTTTGCTTAAAATATCTGACAACTAGTTTTTAAACATGAATAAAATAGAAAAAACTTTTTAAAAAAATTATTTAAAATAATAATATATGTTTTTTAATTTAATAAACAAACTTTTCTCTAATTTCGGCTGCCCTATCTCTTTGTCGTCTATTTTTAAACCAATTACTAACTTGGGTTGAGGATAAACCGGTGATACCCGATAACTCTCTCTTTTCCCTTGGGGAAGGATATGGATTAGCTCGGTAAGAATCTCTCAAAATGCCGCGAGATTTTTCTTTGAAGCAATAACTAGTCTCTTCCCCATCCCATATTGTCCTGGGCAAAGGAAACTTCCTTCTAACCCTGTATTTGCCAACAGCTCCTAGAGGTCTACCCCCTCGAGCCTTTTCCGCCTCGAGGTAGTGCGCTTTCAACCAAATTTGCTGCAACTTGGAATGATTATGACACGAAAATTCATTATTCTCCAGGATAAAGTAAAGCGATTTGAAGTCAGATGTGTGAAATGCTACAACTGCTTTAGCTTTAAGAACGCTTTCGTTAGAATGCAAATGGGGGCACTCCCTTGGAAGGGACCATAAAAATCGAGCCAATCTTTCTATGTTACCAGATTGTTGCAAAACCTCGCACACGCACGCAATTTGATCTTGAGTAAACCCGAACCCTATGTTGTCACCCTTGCCATTGTTATTCGTTGTTTGTTCAAGAATCCCTGAAGTGTGATTGATGGTAGGATCGATGATAGATGGCTTGAGTGGAATATCGGAAAGATTGGACATTATAGAAGGTATGTGAGTGTAAGCATGGAAGGTGGAGAATGGAGGAGTGCTACAGTAAGAATTAAGAAAAGAGGAATCATGGTTATTCGCGAGGTGGCCGTTTGTCGGGGAACTTAGACGGAGTTTAGGAATCGTAATTATCGCCGAATCTTCAGAACTCGGCTTAGAAACTATGATAGGTAAATCAGGGTCATTTAGAGGTGATTTTTTTGTAGCGTCTTTATTCGGTACGAATTGTTCTTTATCATCCTTCAAATCCAGGTTGTTATATATCCCGCACATAAAATTATGTGGTTCGTCCACACATTTAGATGTTGGTCGGCTTAAAGTATCGTAGATCAAAGTAGGGGCCGAAGATATGACAATCGGATAATAAGGCGTTAAGCCGGTATAATAGGCGGTAGGTAGCTGGAAAAAAGGCGAATGAAAAGGTGGATGATGGGGTTGATAAGTGTCCTGAGAGAATGCAGAAAAATGATTATTGATGGAGCCGGATAAGGAATTTAACCCATATTTATTCTCCGCACAACCTCCATAGGAGTCATCTAAGCTTCCGGTCACATCTTGTTTCGAATGCGATTTTTCAAAGTTTGAAGAGATGTTTTCTGGTAAATTTATTAATTTTTCCATATTTTTAAGTGAACAAATATTGTGATCGTACATTTGTTTATCGTTTCATTATAAAAAAAAATTTAAGATATTTTTTGTATGCTAAACAGCTAATACTTAATAAAGAAGAATTTAGGTTAACTTTAATGAAGAAAGATATTGGGATTATAATGATTAAGAAGTCATAAATATTTATGCGAAATTGATATTGATTTGATATATCGATATCATAATTTGTTTTATATTTAATCTTTCCGAATTATTCAAAAAGTTATACAAAAATATATTTCAAAATGACATATGTTTTATCATTTTTAAATTTATACTTACTATTATTAATTTTAAATTTTAATATTTTTAATTACCAATAAAATTTAGTTTTTTTTAAAAAAAAAATTATTTAAAATAAAAATCATATTTTTTAAATTATTTTAAAATAAAACTTATATTGAAAAAATAAATATTTAAAACATGTGGTATCAAATTTCCTTTACGATGTTGTAATTTAAGAAGATATGGAAAAATATTTTAAAAAATTATGTATATATATAATATAGATATTAAATCTATAAATATTTATATTAAATACTAAATATGATATGTATATTAATATTTTACATTTTTTTTTAAAAATTATATAGTACATACATGATTATTATTACTAATAAAATAAATTAAATCTTAATCAATAAATTGAAATTTATATACGATGATGTTAATTTTTAAAAAAATAAATATTTTAATAAATTATTGACTTTTAAGAAAATTTATTTATGAATGGAGATTAAATGGTGATAAGAATATGTTTTTTTTACCAATGTTTATGGGGGTAAGAATAACAATTTGTCTATACTAACTAATCCAGATCGAAAATTTGATTTGTGGGAAAAAATGTGAGAAAATTACAAAATGATTATTATAAAAAATGGGAAAGAAACATATTTTGTTTTAAATGGTGTTAACGAGCAATGCGCAGTGGGTGGGGTGGGAGATGATTAGATAAATCCATTTTTTTAAGCAAGATGATGTGTTTTATTTGTTATAATTAATTTCGATTTTTTTATTTTTTGTTTTTCATGAAAATAGTTTCATGCTCTACATCCAGAAATTTTAAATTCTGAGAGAGGTTTTTAAACTTAAATCTTCTATAGCGCGCCATTTTGAAACAAAAAATTCTGATTATGCCAGAATCGTATTCTAGAATTTCAATCACCCTGCGAATTTTAGACAATATCGCCATTTTATGTTTGTGCATTTTAAATAAAAAATTTATATGAGAAATCTTTTTAAAATTTATCAAAATATTATAAATTTAAGGGGAAAAAAAAATTAAATTATTAAAAATAGAATTTAATCTTTGTAAAAAAATATTATTTATATAATAATAATTGCTATTAGGGGTGTCATTCAGACTTTTCAATTCGCCGGGAATCATATGGGTATCGATTACTTAAAGTCAAAATCTTTATATATATATAATATATTTAAATAAATCAAAAACCAATATTTAAAAAAATCAAAATAAGCTAATAAATTCATTAAAAATCTTCTCTTCTCTAAAAATACGAATTTTTCATAATAAATTGGAAAATTAAGAATTAAATTATTGATCAAACATAATTTTAAACTTGAAAAATATTTTAATTAACAGAATCTTCTGAAAAAAATTACCGATTTTTTAAATATTTTTGTGTGTATATTTTAAGTTTTTATAGAAAAATAATATACTATCAAATAATCACGGTAGAAAAAATTAATACTATTTGTTATGAAATTTTTTTTTTTGAATTATGGTTAAATTCTCCCGCTTTTTATTTGAATGAATCTAACAATTAGTGTTGTTAAATAGCCCGATTCGAGTCAATTTATAAAAACGGCTCTATTAAGATTATAACCAAAATAACATTATATGTGAGCCTAAAGATTTTGCTTATAGCTGGCATAAATGCTTGGACATCTATTTGCTAAATCTCGATGCTTACCTAATATTATTTTAGCTAAAATCTTAATCGGCCCGTTTTGAAAAATCGACCCAAATCGGGCTTTCTAACAACACTAATGGATTGGCAACCCTGGTTAAGATATTAAAAATGGTAGCCAATCAAATCTTACAAAAATATGATTATAAATAGAACGAATAGAAAATTAAATATCACGTAACTACAATTTTCTTGAGTTGGACAATAATCATATTTTATATACCCTTTAAAATAATTTATCAATTTAGATTTTCAAAAATAAATTGAATAATATTTTTAAAATTTTGATTCAACATATTTTTAAAAAATTGATTGGCATCTTAAAAATTAGATTGCCATTTCTGAAATAAATCAGGACTTGAACCGCATATCTCTGCCAAAATCACCTTACAGAACCGAGCTCACGAATCCTGTCTTGAATAGAATACTATTCCGGTAAAATAAGATCTATAAGAATTATTTTTTAAAACTCGCGATATGATATTTAAATTTTTAAAATTTACTAAAAACTCATATTTGCTATATCCTTAATGTTGTTTGTAGCTGTTGAAAAAAAGAAGAAATAAATTTAATATAATACATCAAATGTCAGTTATTTTCTGACAGGAAAATTAGTTTTCCTTGAGGATGGAAGGAAAACGAAATCATCACATGGGTTGGTTTTAAGAAGTTTCTTTGTTTGCTATTTGGAGTGAAGATATTGGATGAAGACGAGATTGATTGGGGAAGATTTAATATGTTTATATGTTATATATATACATGAATAAAGTGGAATTTTAGTAATGTATATTATATTTATTTAATATTATTAAAGGGATTATTTTGGATTGATAAGTTATATTTTTGTGAGGGAAGGGTTGAGAGTAAAGGGCCTATTTTTATTTATTTTCGATACTTAAGACTTATATGTATGCTAATTAGAGTAAAAATAAGCTGGAATATACACTCTTAAGAGTAAGGTACCCACCAAGGCCAGATCAAGTGGGTGAGTTAGGGTCGGCCAAAAACGGCGTCGGATTTGGGCAATGGTTTTGTAATAAGCGTTTTTTCTTATAGATATTAAGTATCCTTTGAAAAAACTTTATTTTGCCATCAACGCATATAATTTTTCCCTCTTTTTTTTTGAAACATCGTAATTTTTTGTAACAATCTAATAGGGGATATATTGAATCTTCCATCGGAAAAATTTCAATTTTTTTCTCGGATCGGGCCAGAAAAAAAATATGTCCGATGAAAGATCTACGATAAAAAAAATAAATTAATTTCAATCATAGAATATTAATTATGGAGAAAATATATATTCCGTCCTATTAATAATAATAAACACATTTGTATGAATATAATTATAGGAAATTTAAATTAGTGTTATAATATTCGATTATTTTCTAAATTACAATTTAATTTTTATCGCCTTTATAACGCCATCCGGGGGAAGAGGGAGCAAGAGATAGCACCCTGAATGAGCCGCTAATATTGTACAAAGCATTTAATAAGAAGTGATAACCGTAACCTTCGACATCTGGCGGGGCAAATCTACGACAGAATCATAACCGCTCTTTTAAATTTCTGAGAACCGAAAGGCATTTTAAAATTTTCAGAAATTGGAGGCTAACCTGACTAAGGTAAAGCTAATTTATATGTATCAGGGTTTCAAACAAAACCGCAAAGGCTCAATGAAACATTTTCATTTTCTGAACCGTAACGATAACGGGAGCATTATAATAAAATATCTAAAGAGAACCGAACCTTTAATTTGGGAGTTGATTTAACCCGGTCATAGCAGTTCTTATAATGATATTTTTTTTAAATATTCAGATTTTTATGTTATGTTACTTAACTTTTTATTTCTTATTCAAGTTGTGTAATAAAATAAAGAAAAATTCAACATATTATTTATTTATTATGCCATAAAAAATATTTAATATAAATTTAATATTAAAAGATTAAATATATTTAAATTACAATAAGATAATAAATGTTGATTATAAATATTTAAAATATACAATATTTATTGTTAAAAAAAAGAAACATTTGTTAATAAATCCAAAATTTTTAAAAAAATGAAAAAACATAAAAACGAGAAGAATATTAAAGGAAGAGTTAGTCTAGGGAAGATCTTTAGAGAGAAGACTGCTATTGAAGCTTGGATATTCGCCTTAAGAATAGCTATAGCCAGTCCCTGTCGGAGGAAGAGACCTTCTGGGAAGATAGCCAGTAAACTTTGTGAGATCCTAAATCTTAGAAGAAGAGTAATGCAAGCTTACCAAAGAAAGTTAAGGTTGTGGATATTATTTGAATAAAGATATGATCTTTTGAAATTTTAAATCTTTTTGCTCGAGTATGTTTGGAGTTTGGTTGGATAGAAGTAACGGATCTATTCAAGAATAGTCCCAAAGAAATTGACTCCGTTTTCATTTTTGGGATTCCATGCATTTTTTAAACAAAAATCAAAATTTATTAACCCGAACGAAAATCGATATGATTTTCTAAACCGGAATAACCGATACATTAATTTATTCAAACAGAGACTAAGAAACGGAATGGTACAGAACAGTTAAACCTAACTGTTCGATATCCTGATAATGTTTATATTATTGTTGTTGCGCTGATCCCATTTTCGATGGTCTAGAGAATACTTGAACTTTTTTTTCATCCCCTTAAAGGTGGGGAACCTCCAAAACCGGAAATCCTCGAAAATGTTAGAACCGGGACTTAAAATCTATTTTTAAATATTATAAGAAACCTTACCACTACTTAAAAAAAACAATTTGAGCCGGTGTTGCAAATCTTGATTATCTGTCCTGTATAGGTGCGCAGTTATATATAGAAAAATAAGGACAAAAATGTGATCAGATGACAACGCCCCTTAATTTGAATATTAAGCACTTCTAAAATTGTAAAGTGTTATCATCGATACAATTTTAAATATACATATGTATTGTACTCATCGATTAGCTAATTCATTTTTTTTCCCTCTTCGCGTTAATAAAGTATGTTTTATAACCACGAAAGCTTACGAATCTTATCTAATAGAGGAAGGTCAAATAGTTCCTAACAAGCCGAGTCAGGACCAGTCCAATCCAACTTAAAAAAATTAAAGATGTCTCTTATATCTTGTTCTTCTTCTCCATAGATATATATAATCAA